TCGGATGTTTTCATTGAATGTCGTTTTTTCGAGCGAAACGAACGGTCGGTCGCGTCGATTTTAATACGGGCTGCATTCTAAATTGCACGTCGAGCAATTAATTTGATTTCCTCCTCGCAGGAATCGGCGATAAATTACTCATTCGACCCGTGACGATGGACAATTTTTACTTTCGCGAGGCGACAGAAGCCGGCAGCGCTCGAGATCGATGGTATTTTTCCGAACGAGAACGTTGTTTCGTTTAAAAAGAAAGTTGTTTAAGAAATTTTCTATTTTTCTGCATTCGCTCGACGTTTCAGGAATCGAGAAAGTTATCAGACTTGGAACGGAACTCTTTGTATGGCCTAACACTGCAACGCGAAACTTTAAAACTGTTTTTCAGACTGGCGAGCATAATATATCGGTAACCGATAAATCAATTTCACGCATGTATAAAATAAATACCCTCCGAACTAACAGGAACATCCTGTACACTTTTTCGCCGTTTAAAAAACAATTTTCGGCGAACAAAATTTACGAGAGCATGAGTTTACGAGATTACGTATTTCCATTACTTTGATGGATAAAATTTACGCTAAGTATAAAATAAATATCGTTTAATAATGCTTTGTTATTTTTTGCATTCCGTGTCCGACAATGTAATTAGGGGCGGTCGGCAGATTAAATAATTAGATGCTTCTGGAATTAAATTGCTTGTTAAGCGCCAACCGCCCATTTCTCTAATTGCTTTATGAATAAATATGTACACGCGATTTGAAATTGACATGCCCAACAATTATCTAAAAAAAAAAAATACTCTTACCGACGATCCCATTCTTAAATCTCCAATCAAGACGGACTCCGTAATGGAAAACCGAGGAGTCGTGTCGGTTTCTTTTTCGTTCCGTGGAAAAGTATCCCAGCAATATTGTGGGAACGCGAAATGCTTCCTGTTGGTGATTGTTCGATTCTCGTTAGGTGTCCAGCGCAACGTGCAATTAAGTCTGAAGGGAAGCAGTTAGTTTGTCGATTAACGTCCGTCTGCAATTCGAACGCCCACTGTCCGGCTAATTACCGGCAACAAAACTCAAGGCGAGGTGAAATTGCCTTTTCGACGTTTTATGACGAGCCAACCCCTGTCTGAGCTGCACCGAGCCGACTCCGTACAAAGAGACCACGCTGGAAAACGCGCAGCCCCGATCCCCGACGATCCTACGCGCCCGCCATTATCGTCTAGAAAGGAACTCGAAGTCCTTCGTTGAAGTTTGTCTCGCGAGTGGACGATTAACCGAAAGATCGTTCGAGCATGCATTAATATAATTACCAGCCTCTCGACGAAGATACGGCCAGTTAATCGATCCGATCGAGCGCTAAAATCCTCCAATATTAACATCGACTGCGAGTCGATTCTCACAACTGCAATTAAATACTAAGCTTCAGGGCTATTTTATTCATACGCGTCTTGGTACCATAAATCTTGAAATTATTATTCGGGTACCGTTTCGGGTTAATCAGCAACATACTCGAGCCCGTCGTACTACTCTGTATATTTCTTGTTTCGTAGAGCATTATTGTTATCATGTAAGAGACGCATATAATTCTGTGGTATGAGCAAGAATTATGGTGTCTCGTACCAGGTATTCTGACTGTTCCAACAGATCCTGCGTTAGACGTCTCCTGCACGTGGAGCCTTTGTTCAAACACGAGAAGGATTTTCACTCGCTCAGTGAAACGTGAATTACAGGGGAATGAAAAAATTCGTGCAACTTTGTAAGGATATTAATTAGCACCGAGAATTTCCAGTTTGATACCGATTCGCTTTCCACGGAAAGAATCTCAAACAACGACTGTATTTTCCACGCGAGTTATGGGGAAGCCATCGAAGCGTTGATTACGGATACGTTTGGACTGATTCGCGTTCCTGGGTATTGCGATAATTGAAAAGCAGATGGACGGAGAGATTGGTTGGTTTAACGGGTTCCGACGCCGTTTTCCACGAAGTTTACGATCGCGTCGTTGGGCGTCTAAACACGACGTGACGCGTTCCTGGACGAGACGAGCATATCTCCCGCATTGATTTAATCGTCAGCCGCCATTTGTCAAGGGCGACGCTCGTACGCGGATGGGCTCGGCCCTTCTTGCACCCTTGATCGTGTTGTGGGGAGCCAGAGACTCGATTAGGCTACTTATAGCTCGTTTGTAAATGCAATTCTCCTATTAACCCTTTTGGACTCTGATAGAAAATGGAGTGTTTTGCTACGAGGCTAAAAAAAGTAATAATTTTACGATGTAATTATCCTTTACTCATGTTTGTAATAAAACCTCTTTCAACCAACTTTCACAACGTTGGTTCGACGCGAGAACAGCGATACGTAGCGATTTTAAAATCATGTCGCGCGAATTTTTACATCGATTTAATAAGAGCGCGAATAATTTAATCGTAAATTGAATTTTATCGATTTTCGATCGTCGTGCGTCGCGTCGCGAGTCCAGATAAATTTTAGAATAAACTGTATTAAAATCGCTTGTAAACTATCGTTTGGAAACACGTGCGTGGACTTGGACAACGTCATAAATCTTCGCCCGTAGGCGATACGTACTCGAATACCGGACAGGTTCGGTTGTTGGAATTTTCCATCCTCTAATTTTCATCATCCACGACTACTTATGCTCGATCGACTCCCTGATAAATCATAGTACAAGTTTTTCACCGACATCAACATAATTCCAACTTCGACGAATTAATTTATAGTAATGAATATTTTCGTATCATTTTTATGGGTACTCCAAAGAGAAAGATCAAGCCTGTGGAACAGAGAATGTTGCGCAACTAGTCTGTGTGGTCGATATAGAATAATTTTTGTACGACTTGCAACTCTATTCGAGGTCTAATCTTTAGTTATTGCTACAATACATTCTGCGTCGGTCGACCGTGCATACCGTCGCATTTATCGAAAGCACGCATACCGATGAGTCTGCAGGATTGGCAGAATTTCACCGTAAATTTCTTAAATGCCTATTTTCCAAGAGAATTATTTATCGTTCGTAACCATTCCGTTATGGTCGAGCGTTCGACGAATTTTATTGCAGTATCTCGAGCATGTATGCGTGGACTTTACTTCTATAGATCATTTTGGGTAAAAGTTCTCTGAATGTTCCTACAAAGGTCAACAGATTATGTAGACGGTACGAGTATCAATCCTTTGTAAAACAGAAACAGATATTTCGTTCGTGCCAAAACATTGTAACGAGTTCTGATTAAAACCTATTGAATTTAATGAGAGGACAGGCAGGAAACATTCCGGCCGACCCGTCGCAGTAGAAAGCGGAGAAAATTTACGCGCAAGTTTGCCGCTGCCAAAGTAAAAGACGTGGCTGGGTTGGTCGCGCTTTTACGATTCGCAGATAACGAGATATAACATGTCGGGTGTTTAAACCGACGTCAATTTTCACCGTGTAGATACGGCGCGGCGATAAAACGCGACGCCCTATAGCCGGTCGGAGAAGTCGCCGGAGCCAAATGATCGTAAACGAACCGAGAGTCTACTTCGGAGCACCGTGCAAATACCGGTGGCTCCGCGGGAAAAAGAAATTCCTTCGGCAACGGGCAAAAATGTGCACGGCGAATACCGATGGACGTAAGAAAATCGGCGGCGGTCGGCCGTTGAATTTGCATTACTCGATTTAGCCGAGGTGGCGGCAGTTAGAACGCCGACTTGCTTTTTCACCGACGGCTCACCGTTACTTTTGTTTTTTCTCCTGTCAAGAAATGGTATGGTAATGATCGTTATGGTGCGCCGCTTTTCTCGCTGTCACCGCATTTCCCCGGACCGTCTAATCCGCGGTGCAAATCCTTAAGGTCGAGATATGCCACGGTCGATAATACCAACCATTACCCGGTTAACTGTAACGAAATTTCTCCGAACGAACCGAAAGCTTATTATACCGGGGCAAATGAATTTTTTCACCGTGGTCAAGTTTCCCAGAATAGTCGAGACTGTTAAAGTAAAATACTGGTACGGCTCGTTTATACTATCTACCAGTCGTGGAATCCACCTTTCCAGCGTCGTTTCTGGTGTCGCGAGCGTCGCCTTTTCCCCGCAGAATTTCCATTAAAATCTGACATTCCCGATGCCGATGCGACGGTCCGGTTCATTAGCATCCATTGAGTCGACTATCGGCGAATGGATCCGCGTTCGGAGTGTCTACGGTCTTTGACTGGCGTTGTTGTGCACCGGTTGGTGCGTAGAAACGTTTGTCGCAGATACGCAATATAACAGTCCTCGCGTCTGAATATTACAGCGCGAGATAAACTAGCACAATGCGTACGACGCTGCTCGGAGACGATTGTTCCAGGTTGCTTGGGGATTGGAAGGAGGTCAGTCTGTTCCGTTTAATTATCCGACCAGACAGTCGGTGCGCGCTCATGGAAATAGAGAAAATATCGTCGTCGCTTTTCAGACGCGACAACCGGATCGAAGCGTCGCGCGGACAATGCCGCCAGAGAAAATGAAAATGCGAACGGGGCTCGATAACGCGTTCGATGGCCCCTCCACCCCGGGAAAGTTCGCGAGTTAGAAACGACGATCATCGCGCGCCTCCAACTTCTAACGAAAGGATCGCTGTCCCCGTAATAGAACCACCCACAATAAACGGAATAGGAAAAGTTTCGTGCCTCTATTTTTCGGTTCTCGCTCGTGCCGCGACGATACGGCCGTGATATGTTTTTACGGAAAATTTGGCGCGATTCGGTATCGCGGCGATCGTTATTATACCGTAGCGAGATGGTATCTGATGCGATTGATTGTCAGAAAAACTAATCAAGTAATCTCGACACGTTGTCGCGTCTAGGATGGATAGTTACGAGATAGATGTGTAGCATGTGCACGTTCATTTTCCAAACAGCCAACCGAAAATATAATACGTTACATATATTTGTATCTTATACGAGTGGTTTTTAAAATATAATTAATGAGCCAAGATTTTACAAACGGGGTGCTTCAAATAAAAACAAGAACATA